GGCAATCCCCTTTAATCAGTCCCTGATTGGGTGACAGTGGATGGGAAGAGCAGGACACGCACACACACCTCAGGGGCAGATTTCTGGCTGGTTAATCCGTGGGTTTGACTGACAGTACCTCTTTATGACTCAATGACCCGGCTTTTCTACTGTCTCCCACACTGTGCCATCTGCAGAGGCTTTCAACCTCAGTTTGAACAGCAAATATAACCAAACCCTGATCCAGATTAGCTTCCCCTCTGTAGTGGCCTACTAAATCTGACTTTACATCAGTGTCTACTAACAAGCCAAGTCTACATCTCTTTTGTCTGGCTGCTGGTGCTGATTTGGCAGCAGCCAGTCAGTAATTGTTTTGAGCTGCTAAATTGCACCAGGAGGGATTGGATTACCTACCACCAGGGTAGTCCCCCTCCCCTTCTCGTTTCCTTGTTTCCCCTGGATTACATCAGAGTTTAGGCTCCTTCATCTGTGAGTAAGCACATACCTCACAGTCACACGGGAGGCCAGAAACATGCCTAATGTCTTAGAACAGAAAGGGGGATAATGGGATATATGGAGGAGGGCAGGAAGTGCAAAAAATCCTTCCTGTACATTGTTTTCTGCCATCTCCAATGGGAAAGATAAGAGGTGTAGAGGACGGTTGATGGTGATCTAGTTTCTGTTTATGCATGCTGGTGTGTGTGTATGTGCGCTTATTGTTCCTATCTGGCCTAAACCCAGTCTTTTCTGTATTCAGATCATAAATAATGAAAAGCTAGAAGGAAATGAAATATTATCCATATAAAACTCCCCAGGGTGTCTTATCTTGTATGACAATGATTCATTCCTGTAATATCATGATCACAGCATAGACCTTGGCCAATTACAATAACAAAATCGAGATAGATAAACAATATTCCAGCCACAATCTGGGCTTCTTTTCTCAAAAGCTACATACTAATTAATCTTCAAAGTAAAAAAGCAGTGTTGCATGACAGAGCGAGTCCTGTAAATCGCCACTCAGACAACACTTTCCCAGGTCAGATCAACATTGTTAAGCTCAACAGAGAGACAGTAAGTGCAGAGCACTGGGATGAGGGGCAATACGTGAGACTTTATTTGTACTTTATGGTGTGGTTGTACAGAACAAATTGGGGTCAGAATTTGATCCAGCGAACGTGGACAGTTCTGCCTCTCTCTTGTGCGTTTTAGGTCAAAACCTCATATAATGACTTTGTGCGGTTCCCTGGCTTTTCGACCCATCTAAAACAGCTGACACAAGGCAGATAGGTGGGTGTGTGAGTTTTGAGGTGAGGCAGTGAAAGGCGCAGGCAGACAAGGAGAGGTAACTCTGTTTTTTTGGTAACTCCATTAAAACGAACCCCTGGGAGGTTTGGACGACTGACAGCTGAGGTGGAGTCCGGGGCAGCTAAGCAGGAGGGAGAGTGTTTTCATGTGTTGATGTGTGTGTTTTCCTTCACTACTGGGACATATATATATGGCTGCAGGGCTGTCTCTCAGGTCCGCAGCTGAGTGTGACGGGGGTTCACTCAGGGGTATAGGAACAGGCCCCTGAGACGACCTGTGGAACACCCCCGTTATCCTCCAGGGAGCGATGCTTTTGAGGTGCGGTCCCCCACCACCCTTCACCTCCAATGTGCCGAATCAGTGGAAGGCAGAAACCCAGAGAGTATCCCTGACACTAATATGGAAAAAAGCCTGTTTGGAGCGAATATAAGGGCAAATATTATTCTTCCTGAGCGTAACCACGGCGAGCACCTCTGACCTGGCAGTGAAAGTGCTGAAACAAAAAGCCCAAAGACTTTTTCTGCTCCATCAAAGGAGAGCTGCATAAAATAAACATGGCCATCAGATTACCACGCTGAACACGGGGCCGCGTTAGCCCGCGCCGGCCGCCCTGCCGCCCAACCCCATAGCTCTATGGGAGTTAAGTGTGGGGTCCGCTCAGTCAACACCATGACGCAAAATGGAACAAGCCTCTGACAGAAGCCCCAGGCTGATGGAATAAGGCCCCTACCCACAGGCCCACAGGCCCCCCGGCCCGAGAGAAACATACTGAGCGAGAACGAGAGAGTGAGAGGCAGGAAAACAGGAGGAAAGAAGAGGAAAGAAGAGGAAAGGAGGGATAAGGTGGATGAGGACATTTTGGAAAAGAGGAAAAGACCACCAGTCCCAAATTGGTGGCACACACACATAAACACTGCTGCTGCTGCTGCTGCTGCCCGGGAGAACCAGCAGCAGCAGGCCTGGACAGACAGCCGCCAGTGGAGAGAAGGCCGGGGCAGGGCAGGGCAAGGCAGGGTACAGTGGTTGGTGGTGGTGGTGGTTGTAGCTGCCAGTGAGACTGTGAGGCTTAGCTGGCCAGTCTTACTAACAGTGGACAGCCTCAGCCCGGTGGATCTGACCTCACAGGGGTTCTTTTATATCCCCGCGTGTGCCTGTGTGCATTTGTGTGTAGGGGCATGCATGTGTGCACCAAAAAAAAAAAGTTTGTGTGTTTATGTGTGCATTTCACATTCGGGTGACGTAACCAGAAGAGAAAAAAAAGCAGATCTGTCCTTCGAGGAAGCAAGGCTTTTCTCTTGGCCTTTTAGTCATCTCACTGAGGCCCTGCTGTGCATTTCATCCACCTAAAGTCGGTAGCCACAGTCTGTCGTCTGTCTGCATCTGACTGATTTCCCTCCCAGCACCTCTGACCTTCTCACCACTTGTCTCAAACCTCACGCAGATTCCTACACCCCCAGTCTGTCTTTTTCTCTGTCTGTGACCTAACAGAGATTCCCCTGCTCCCTTGTTTCCTTCCTGGCCTTAACACAGGACTTTGCCAGAAGCCATGTACAATATTCCACTCTCACTTTGTTTCAGACCAGAGCTGACTCTCTGGTGACTGTACAGCCAGGTCCTTAAATATTTTCAGTCTGAGATCCAAAATGAGAAAAATTTTGAGTTTATTTCTTTTGAGCCACACTCATAAAAGTAATATTGTTTCCCTGGCTGTGTGAGACCGGGATAGAATTTCGGTCCCCACTGCTATAGGAAAGCAGATCCTGCAGTATTTGGTAACGATGACTACTTTGGACTTGAACCCTCACACTTTCCCCTCCGATTTCCTGATAAACCATGTCTCACAACCTCCATCAGTAGCCCTACAGTCATCATATTCTGCCCTTTCCCCTGACGTATTACTTGAAAAACCTCCTTATGCTGCGGGCTTTAGGATGACGCAGGGCTCAGGTAAAGTGTTACCAGATCACAAATAGATACTGAGGCCGTGCCAGGTTGTAGCTGTTAGTGTTAAGTGTGAGAGCCATGGGCCCTTTCTGGTTCCTGAAAATGACTCCTGTGTGTAACAACAATGAACACAATCACTGTGGTCCACTGGGCCTCACACCAGCAGCATTGCATTACCGCGCTTGCCTCCCTACTGTTCTGCTTTTCTTTTCATCCTTCTCTCTTTTCTCCTCTGACTCAGCTGTTTTGTAGGAAACTCCGTCTCTTTGAAGAAGGGAAGAATCTTTCATTACTCGACAGCAGGGAGAGAGAAGGAGATGATAGGGAGAGAATAACTGCCCCATTGTCTTCACACACACACACACACACACACACCCCTCCATCCACCAATGATAATTGTGTTGAGCTAATTACAGAGAGCTGCTACAACAGGTGTGGGACTCTGCACCTGGGTAAAGAAGCCTACTTAGTGTGCGTGTGTGTGTGTGAGACAGAGAAAGATGTTTGTGTGTATGACTACGAAATTCTGGGTGAAAGTGTGTATGACACTTTGTCTGCGTCAGTGATAGAGATCACAGAAAACAGTGTGTGTCACATGCTTACTAAACCCTACACGTTACTTAATAGCACTCAGACATTGGTCACCGTATTGTATCACTACTGCAATATCATACAATCAGCATGGACCTATACCAGTGTGAGCCCCATCTGTGTTTAATTATAAAGCTACAGACTACATCTGTTTGACATTACTGGAAAGTTGAAATTAGCACACAAACACAGTCTCACTCTCACTCATACACCACATTGAATTTCAAATGAGAGTGATTACAATCACTTAATTGATAAATCTAACCACAGGGAGCCTCTTCTCATGATTCATAATCTATAAGTGGTCTTTCTTAATGGCATGTTTTTTGATGTCAGTACAGTAAGAAATTGGGGAAACAGAACCGGAGGCAACAGTGATGATGTAAGCAGGGGTCTCTCACGGGACTGATGTTTTTTTGAGCTTTTTACCGTAAAGGAATTCTTCTGAGAAGCTGACCGGAAGAAAGGAAGCCATTTGGTCAGATGCCAAAGGAGGAACATGATAACTTGGGTTTGTTGAGACGTCACTGAGCTTCACTCTCAAAACAAAGAAAGTGGTTTCTAAAGATGTCTGGCTGACTAGACAGTGGAATTGACTGGATATTACAAATTTGTGACAGTTCAAGGTCAAGTTAAGCTGTTAGTCACCGCTGATGATATCACCTGTCTGCTGTCTGTTCATGACAGCCCCTTGCTAATTTATGCTTAATAAACTGGACTTTTTTATATTGCCTGGGAATTATACCACATTAATGAAATCGAAAACCCTGCCGAGAAGACCACTTTAGTGTGTCACAACAACTGAAGGGAAATTAAAACATCCCCTGCTCTTAAGTCACCAGCTTTTACCTTTACGACAGTTTACCTTAAAGGTAACCTTTGTGTGTGGTCGTCACAGTCTTATTTGCTCGCTTGAGTCATGACCTTTTGTAAAATGCTACCATTATTACAGGAAATGAGAATGTGCCTTTGGAGCAGACGATAATGTAGTTGTATGATCACCTCCTTAGTCAAGCAATTCTACCTGCAGACTCATCATTTAACGTTAGTGGGGAATGAGTCCTGCATTGCCACCTTGTGGAATATTCCTTTGGTGTTGAATTTGAGGCGAGTGCCAAGCCCAAGGGGCCCCGCAGTGGGAAACAACCTTGTCAAAGATCATGCGGAAACTGTAGGTCTTTTACTAGAATTCAACATTTTATTAAAAACAAGTAGTTTAAAAACATACATGAAAGCCAAGTAAAACAGTCACGTAAAGCATAACACTGCGTGGCCCAAAGGACATGGTGTTTTACTCCCTGCTTTAAAATAAAACCTATAAAGACATACCAAAGCCAATACATTTCTCTTACTTGAAAATATCTAAATGAATAAATGAATTGATATGGAAATGTCATGAAAATACAACAACCAGGCAACAGAAACGCAGAAAACATGTCCAGTTTGATTTTTTTCTTTTGTGGTGTGCAGGTTGGTTTTCTGTTACTGGTGATATCCTTTTTTTTCCTTCTAGGAGACATCGACAGAGAGACAAATATGGGCTTCCTCAAAGCCGAGTCCTCTGATTGGCAGGGAGCTCATCCTGGTCGAGTCCCCACAAGAAGGTGCGGAGACGTGTCACTTCCTTTTGCAGCTCAGGGCTTGGGATTGGCTGGGAGAGGTCAAGGCGTGGAGTCTCATTTGGGAGGATTAGAGGAGGATGGTCCAGGAAGCTCTCAAAAATGTCTAAAAGATCAGAAAAGGAAAAGAAACAATTGACTTCAAAGGTTACTTCACTGTCACAACTGCATGGTTAAATTCCTTTTTATTAGTTTTATTTATGATGTAGTACCTCCACTCAGCTCTGTGCCTGGTGGAGGGCCCCAGGATGCTGGTGGGGCTCTGGTTGGACCCAGCTTGTAATGGGTGAGCAGGTGGTGCAACTGGGAAGGGCTTAACAAGATATGATCCTCCTGTAGACTCGTCCAGGATGACTGGAAGATGAGAGGTTAATAGAGAGACAATTAATATTCTTGGGGTAGGGCTGAGGAGGCACACTGCACATGTAGCTGTACTACCTGGATAAGTCGAGTCTTGGGAATACACAGGAAGTTGACGGTGATTGACAGTTTCTTCATAAATTCTGAGGCTATGTCTCCTAATCCTGCCCCCTGCAGCCAGTCCAGAACCAGGTCCAAGTTTGTACGGATCTGGACCGCTCTGGACCACGAAAAGAGCCCGTCTAATGGGAGAGAACAGAACGAAAAAATGTGTTGTGAATAGAAACAATTCTGTTTTTACAAATAATAAGACAGGAGTTTATTCTGTTATTGAAGAGACCATATAAACCCTCAGCTCATAGAATGTGACTGTGACCTCTAAAGCAAGACTACCTAACTTTTGAAAGAAGAAATACCACAAATGTGTGAAGTGTTTTCATAAACAGGCTACATCCTTACTTGGTCTGGTATGAACAGTAGCTTATCGTTAGCTAATGTTACAAACTAGATACTGTTGTATAACTGGCATTGCTGCTCAGTGTCACTAAGTTTATGACTTTTCTCCTCTTGTGGCCACAGTGGCTGCTGTTCAGTAAAGGTTATATAAGCCCCTCTCACCTCTCTCCAGCAATGTATTGAGCAAGGAGGTGTTGGTGAAGAAGAAGAGGTAGCCAAAGGTTTGGGAGGTGAGCGGCGGGGACAGACACGCCTCCCGCGACAGCATCAGGGAACAGCGATACACTTCCACCAGCCCGGCAACTCTAGGCGGTAAGGCGGACACATCGTCCACCTCTTCTTCCCCTTCTCTTTTCTCTTCTCCCTCTGCACCCCGAGCTCCATCCTTGTCCTTCTCTTTCTCCTCGCTGGAGAATGGGTTGGTGTCCAGGAGAGCTGGAAGGAGCGAGTACAGGGTCTTTGTGGACAGAACGGAAAGAAATTTGAGTTAATTTGTTTAAATAATGAAATATTATATTATATATTATAAGTATTGCTGGCCGGCATTGCCATCCCTAGAGCCACCTGTTTGTTGGTTGGTCCACCATTTTGGTCCACACTGAAATACGTGTATATAAGTAATATATTGGATGGATTGCCATGTATTTGTACATTCATTTGTGATTCCTAGAGGATGGATCCTACTGACTCTGTTGATCCCCTAACTATTCCTCTAGCGCCACCATGAGGTTGCATTTGAGATTGAAGTGTTTCAGCAGCTATCGGATGGATTGCCATGAAACTTGGTACAGGCATTCATATCCCAACTAGCACTATCATCAGGTCAAATTTTTATAGGCTAATTATCAGCAAATACCTGCTAAACTAATGAATTCCCATCAACCTCAGCGTGTTAGCATCTAAAGTGGCTGTAGCAAAGCAAGCAAGTCAAACAGATTTTTAGTATGTCGTGTGTTTACACAAGACAATAGACAAAAGGAAGTACAGTGAAATTAGACAGCATGCATACTAAATACAGTCAATTGTCAAACATGTTGTTGATGCATATGATTCTCCCAGAATGCAAAGCACAAAGGAAATGGAGGAGCTGCTCACAGCTGGAAAAAATTTAAATAAATTGTGGGTGGCGGTGAGACTGCTTCAGAAAAATCTTGGAAAACAAAAAAAAGTATTAAGTCTCAAGAAAGACATTTTGCTGTCTCTTTGTGATGTTTAATTGGCAGTGGCTTTCCAAAGTTGCAGTTTGATTGACATCTGGCGCCACACATCTAAAATGGTAAAGTATGTTGATTTCTTTGTTTACTAACTGCGAAAACTGTACACAGTGACAGTGAAGTAGCACACAGTGTAGAATTAGTATGTAGTATCGATTTGTGACACTGCTTTTGTCTGTTTATACTGTACCTTGGTGAGGTGATACACACACTGTTGGAAGGTGTGCATAATGACATCATCCAGCTGTGCCAGAGCTTCTGAGCAGGTGTCCATGTCAGCTGTCAGAAGTGGGTCCCCCGGGGCTTTAAAGAAACAGTCATTAAGATGAATTTATTTAATGGTGAACATTTTTGTGATGTTTTTGGTGTAAAAAAAGGGTTTGTGCCAGAAACATCACATATTAGTATACTAATAAATAATCATGGGAGCATTATCGAGTGTATGGACTCTTTTTTTACATGTACTTTGGTCCAGCACCTAGTATTTATCGCGCTTTGATATGTGTGCTTTTGTAAACATTTTGCTGAATTTATATATCCAACATTGCCAAAGTTCTGTGGTATTTGTGTTTAATTAAACAGCAACAACCATATTTTTTACTTGAATCAGTAATTTCCATTGTTTATCAGTCTTACCTTCAAACTCCCACTCTTTCTCCATTGCTTCAACTTTGACCTGAAAGAAGTTAAGAAGCTCTGTGGCATTTGACATCCAGAACATCAGGGGTCGAAGGTCAGAAGACAGTTTCAGGACATTCGGCGTGCTTATCTCACCTTCTTGCTCTGTGGAACTGGACACATTTATGTAATGCCAAAGTTATGTGAGCTGTAAAATGATTGTGAACATTCTCCTGTCAGTGTTTTGTTGGTGCTTTCAAAGAGGAACGCACCATACTGTGAGTAAAAATAGACTGAGTTATCATTACTCAACTATATTTCATCCATTTTCCAACATCACTGTGTTACAATGCTTTCATCATACTACAAAAATTTACCAAAGACATAACAGATCAGGCACAAATGTATCATGAATCACTCAGCTGGAGATCTCTAAACAGAGGAAACATGACGTAGAACAAAAATGTTCTTACTTTTGCGTGGGATGCTTATCCCCAAATTCCTTAATGTTATCCTGTAAAGAGAGTTGGAGACAGAAGAGAGGAGAGACATCTTGGTTTAGTGTGGGGGTGGAGGAGGGGGAACAGAGTCTAGCCCTGCAGCCAGGACAATTACAGCACATTTTCCAGCAGAAGGGCAGTGACATCAGCTCATCCTCGCTCCTGTCCACAACGTAGCAGGCCACAATGAAGGGTATATGTCTGTCTGCTGGTTTTTCTGTCTGACTGAAAGTGGCAGTCTCAATCTGCCTACCTTTTGTTTTTCTGCCAAGCTTGTTTAAGTGTGATCATGGCCATATTGTCACGCAATACTTTCCCAAAAAATGTTAATGGTGCACTTGAGATCCACTCCACAGATGAAACACTAAACCTTCTAAATATTTTATTTAACATATAATAACATGGAGTGTTCTAGCAGCATGGCTCCATGGATAGCAGTGCTGTTTGGTCCACAACTTTGGTCCAGACTAAAATAATTCCATTATTGGATGGACTGACATTCATGGTTCCCAGAAGATGAAATCCTCCTGACTTTTCCTCTAGCGCTACCATGACTTTGACATTTGTGGTTTTAAGTTAAATGTCTGACAACTATTGAAAGGATTGGCAAGAAATTTGGTTCAGACATTTATTTCCCCCTTAGGTTGAACTGTACTAACTCTAATGGACCTCTGACCTTGAATCTAGCACCATCATCAGGTCAAAATACCAATCTGTACAATACTTTGGTTTATGACCAAATACCTGCAAATCTAGTGACATTTCCATCAGTCTCAGTTGTATGTTGTGCTTAGTGTGTTCTGTTTGTTTAAGTAATTACCAAATATTGGTATGTTAACGTGAAACTAAGATGGTCAACATGGCAAACATTATATCTGCTTAACATCAGCATGTTAGCATTGTTACTGTGAGCATGTTAACAACATGCCAATGTTGCACTGCTGTGCCCATTTAGGGTTTTTCTAAGTATTTATAATACATTTGTATGTATCTACTAATACTATTACAGAGCCAACAGTAGAAAGAAATTAGGAAATGAGAGGAGATAGAGAGTTGGGAAATTACATGCAACAAAGGGCTGTTGTGATCATTGTGGTCTTGGTTGGCGCCAGAATCCTTAGGCCATCAGTGCACGCCAAATATCATTTATTCATCATCAATCGAGCTGTTTCTTTACTTACCCAGACAATTTCTTTAATTAGATTGGCTGACTTGAGTAATATCTGTGGCGTGAGAGCGGGGTCCAGGTGTTTGGAGGCATGATCTATCATGATTGACAGGAGATACGCAGGAGCTAAAGGACCGCCCCCAGAGTCTGGAGAGGAATTTTTGGAGATAATCTCCTAAGAGAAAATGAGGGATAAACATGTGCATTGTAAACAAAAAGTAAGTTAATGCTCATATCTTCTTTTTCTTCCTGTCTCACCTGTAACAGGGAATCTGCGTGACGGGGGTGAAACTTCAGAATTGCCTCCGTAGATCCCAGGTACTGCCTCAGTGCTTCCTGTCTGTCCACCAACCCCGAGGGGCAGCAGGTGGTGGAGACATCAGCCTGCCATGGCAGGGTCAATGCCAGCGGTGGAGCTGGAGACACACGGGGGTCACGGTACAGGAAAAGGAAGTGGTTCCCCAGACCGATCACATCCCCAGGCTTTAGGACTGTCTCCCTGTAAATGGCCACTCCATTGTGTGTAACTTCACTTCCTCTGAAGGGCCGCATCAAAGCTACGATAAAATAAAATTAGATTAAGGTAGAGTTAAAACAGCAAGTGCATTATGGGACTAAGTATGATATGAGTTAGTGACTGTTTTAATACCTTGTCCTGTGGGCGTCTCGGGAACAGCGGAGTCTCTCCTGACCAATAAGTGTCTGGCCAAGAGGTCAGGAGCAGAGAGGAACGTGTCCACCTTCAGAGGCCTCTTCCCTTTCCTCTCCCTCTCTCTATCCTTCTCCCTCTCCCTCATTGTAGGCTTTCTTCCAAACACATGCGTATGTCCAACCATGATGTACAAAACAAAATCCTAAACAAAACACACAGTAGAGAGCAGAAGGAAGTCAGGGAGGTCTGTTATCTTTTAAGTGCTATGGTTTATATCAATCTTCCATCTTAGAGATGTTAAGTTCAACAGAAGACAGTTGATAAGGTATGAAGTGTGTCACAGTTTGCTACAATGGAGACCTGTGTGAGGTCATTGTGTGTGAATGATGTACACAGAGGGGTTTTGTGCTTTCGCTGGATAAATTGTTGAGGCATTGTGCTGCTCTGAGGCTGTTTTGTGCAGGACGCTGAATGGGAGAGGCTTGTGGAGCGATGGAAACCCTGATGGTATGTGGCGATTACAGACATGCAGGTATGATGTCATGTACAGGGTGTGTGCACGCGTGTACATCTGCACAAATCTGCTACAGTGTGCCTGTTAGTTTGCATATGTGCACGTTTGCACCTTGTTATACAGTATACCATGTATAATGTCTGAGTGTGTTTGCATAGTGTACGTGTGTGTGAGTGTTGTTTGTGAGTGTTTGTGTGTGTGCGATATCATCTGTCAGCATGTCTTGCCTTGCTCTGATCATAACCCTGCAGCAACAGGAAGAAGGGCCGGTCTGTGGGTGGAAGGATCAAACTTTGTGACATCACTTCCAGGTCGCAGCTTGAGTAATCCTTCTCATCCTCCGCTGGCTGGTTCATCCACCCAACCTTTGCTTCTGCTTTTGAAGCTCTAATCTGAAAACGAGGGTGAAGACATGATGATTAGAACACCAAAAGCACAATTAATTCAGTTTTTTCTCACCACATCGCCTTCATTACCTCTCCTGGTTGTGGGTTGATCATGCTCACAATATTCTTCCTGTCCTGCACTCCTCCGTTGTTGTTAGGCCGGTTGCCAGAGCCACGGGGGTCTTTGCTGGCGTGGTTGCCCTGGCGACGCCGCAGACTCAGGTTCATGTCACTGATGCTCCTCCTGAGCTCCGTGTTCCTTCCACGGTGACCCCGCTCGCTCTCCTCTGGTCCTCCCCCTGATGATATCCTGCTCCGACGCCAGCGCACACCTGTTGTGAAGACAGTCAGCGGGTCGGTCAGTCTGACCCTGTGCCATGTATAAGAGTTCATTTACATGGTAACATATCTGCCTGTTGAGTCTTAAACATACCTTGAGAGTTCTCTCCCTCCCTTTCACGCTCCTTCTCCCTTTCCCTTTCTTCTCTCTCATAGTCTTCTTTTCTTTGGATTTCAAAGCGCCGCTCAAATCCGTCTTTAGGCCGCCACATGTCCACTAACAACAAGGGACATTCCCATGGGGCAACGCTTCTCCGGCACTCTGTCTCCCATTTGATAGCTCCATCTGGCTGCTGGATGGGCTTTCCAATTACATCACACAACAGGAAGTCCTCTGGGCTGTATTTCTGGAGAACTAGAAGGTAATGGAGGAAGGGGGGGGGGGGGAATTTTTTTTCCATA